GTCTAGTGCTGGTCACTGGTTAATTTTGACACAATTAACAAAAATACTGATATTTAGAGGTTATTTTCTCAAACTATGGGTTGTGTTTAGGCAAAGCACCTCTCAGTCATACTCTGTATATTTCTTATGAAGGCTTTTAGCTTTGATTTTCAGCAGTTTTATGCAAGAGAACAACTTGTCACAGGGCCAGGTGGGCTCAAACATTGCTCAGAGTTTAGGCATTTGGCCAAAAATTTCAGGCTAGATTGTGGATTCAAGTATATTTCTTCACAATTTTGGGAAAACTATGTTAGCTTTCAACTCAATCAGCTCCTATTGAAACTACACTACGTATTTTAAATATGTGTTTTCTAATTGCTAAAAGTCTAAGTATTTGAAGAAAGCAGAGAGCTAAGGCAAATGCTAGCAGCCATTCAGAGATAATTCTCTGATATTTTGACCTCTTCTCATTGGTGAAGGCTGCATCTAGGATGTCTTTGCAGGTGAAGAGTAAGTATTTTCATGTATATAATTCCAAAATGAGTTCTTTTTGGAAAATAAGTTTAAGGTGTATAGCGTGTTACTTTGATTTATCTGTCATCTATCTATCTATCTATCTATCTATCATCTATCTATCATCTATATCTATAGCTATATCTCTATATATATGATTGCCCATATAGTGACATTTATCACATTACATAATTATAGTATAATATTGTCTATATTCATTATACTGTGCGTTAGCTCTCAATGGCTTATTACTACTTATTTTAAACTTATACCCTTAAACTCTATTACTCTTAATCCTCCTATCCACTGGTAACCACCATTTTACTCTTTGTTTTGTAGATTCTACATATAAGAGATGTCATACAGTAATTGTTTTTCTCTGTCTGACTTATGTCACTTAGCATAATGTGCTCAAGGCCCATTCATGTTGTCACAAATGGCAGGATATCCTGCTTTGCCATAGCTGTATAATATTCCCTTGTGTATATGTACCACCCTTTTTATCCATTTCTTTATTTATGGACATGTGGATTGTTTTCATTATCTCAGCTATTGTGACTAATACTATGATAAACATGGGGAGAGCTTATATCTATTTGAAATCCTATTTTCATTTCCTTTGGGTATATACCCTGCTGTGGAATTGCTAGATCATACGATCAATCTACTGTATTTGCTGGCGTATAAGACGACTGGGCGTATAAGACGACCCCCTAACATTTCCACTCAAAATACAGAGTTTGTTATATACTCG